AGTGAATAGAGGTAAATATTATTAACTGATAGTACATGGAGTGGATGGTAATCATTGTAATGAAACAATGTTTATGATTTGTTGAATGTAAAATTGATAATCTGTTCTGTAAACCTTCACTCACTTCACAATTAAAAGTTGTTAAAAATATATATTAAAAAAAGACCAAAATGGTTATCAGAAGAGACTCTGAAATTTGCTCTTGAACACTGAGTGCCTAAAGTGAATGAAATAAATGATGAAGTAAAAGAGCTGAACAGAACTCAAATGACATCTCAAGAAAACAAAGTATTATAATGAAAGAGTATTATAATAAAATATCACAGTGAAATTACACCTCAACATAACACAAAAATTCTCATAACTGGACCAATAATCAGCAGCATGCAAAGACCTAGAGTCAAAAAATCAAAAGGGAAGAACATTTTTCAGGGTTAAAAAAACTGAAGAAAATATTCAAGCCTAGAGTTTCAATAGGAGCTCTGGTAGCGTAGTGGTTATGAATCGGGCTGCTAATCTCACGGTCAGTAGTTTGAAACTATCAGCTGTTCTGCGGGAGAAAGATGAGGCTTTCTGCTCCTGTAATGATTTACAGCCTCAGAAACCCTGTACAGAGTCGCTATAAGTTGGAACTGACTCCACGGCACATGACCACCACCAGAGTTTCAATACTGAAAGATTCTTAGGCAAAATACTGAAAGATGAAGGAAGCTTCAAAAGAAGATTAAAGGAATACACAGTCACTATACTGATTGATATTCAGCCATTTCAGGAGGTAATGTGTGGTCACGAACCAATGGTACTGAAGAAAGAATCTAAGTTGTACTGAACACAGATGCTAAAAACAAAGCTTCAGGAATTGATGGGATACCAATTGAAATGCTAAAACAAAGGGTACAATGCTGGAAACACTCCTCTAGTCCAAGAAATTTGGAAAAGAGCTACCTGGCCGAGTGACTGGAAGAGATCCATATTTGTGTCTATTATGACTATTCCAAATAAAGATGATACAGTAGAATGTGGGCATTGTCAAACAGTATCATTCATATTAAATACAAATAAATGTTGTTGAAGAGAATTCAAAAACAGTTGTAGCAGTACATCAACAAGGAACTGCCACAAATTCAAGTCAGATTTACAAGAGGACATGGAATGAGGGACATCAGTGCTGATGTCTTGGTGAAAGCAGAGAATGTCAGAAAGGTGTATGTCTGTGTTTTATTGACTATGCAAAAGCAATCCACTGTGTAGATCATAATAAGTTATGGATAACATTGTGAAGAATGGGAATTTCAGGTCACTTAATTGTGCTTATGAAAAGTCAGTACATAGATCTAGAGGAAGTTCTTTGAATAGAACAAGAAGATACTGTGTGCTTTAAAGTCAGAAAAGGTGTGTGTCAATGTATCCATTGACTGTACTCACTCTATCTGTATGCTTAGCAAATGATCTGAAAAACTGGATTATATGAAGAAGAACTTGGCATCAGGATTAGAGGAAGACTCATTAACAACCTCTAATATGCAGATGACACAACCTTGCTTGCTGAGAATGAAGAAAACTTGAAACACGTACTAATGAAGATAAAAGAGTACAGCTTTCAGTATGGATTATACCTCAGCATAAAACAAAAATTCTCACAACTGGCCCAATAGAAATATTATGACAAACAGAGAAAAGATAGAAGTTGTCAATACAAAGAATCAATATCAAGAAATCAAACTATGTATTGCATTGGACAAATCTGCTGCAAAGCTCACCTCAAATTGTTCAAAAGCAAAGATGTCACTATAAGGACTTATGTGCACCTGACCCAAGCCATGTGGTATTTTCAATTGCCTCATATGCATAAAAAAGCTGGACAGTATATAAGGAAGACTGAAGAAGAATTCATGTCTGACAATTATGGAGTTGCCAAACAATATTGAATGTGCCATGGACTGCCAGAAGAGCGAATCGATCTGTGTTGGATGAAGTACAGCCAGAATACTCCTTAGAAGCAAGGATGGTGATAGCTCATCTCATGTTCTTTGAACATATTATCAGGAAGGACTAGTTCCTAGAGAAGGACATCATGCTTGGTAAAGTAGAGGGTCATAAAAATAGGGGAAGATCCTCAATGGGATGGAATGACATAATGGCTACAATGAGTTCTGACATAGCAATGGTTGTGATAATGGTGCAGGAGTGGAAATTGTTCCATTCTATTCTACATAGATAGGGTCACCATGAATGGACTAACTCAACAGCACTTAACAACAACAAAGTATATAGAGGTCACAGTTCCAGAGCCTTCCCAGACATACTCAAACAACTCATGGGATTGGTTTATTCGGTTAAGAGATTTAGGACCATAATCTTGGGGGACAACTTAGTAAATTAGCATAACATAGTTTATAAATATAATATTAAACATCCTAGAATAGGATCTTAAAAGTTTGCAAGGAATACAGCTATTAGTTTCTACTCATCTGGAGCAAAATACCATGAAGGAAATCATAGGCACAAAGAAGAAAGTACTCCATAAGACTAATAGCCCACATGAACCATGGCCTCTTCTGAGATCAGAAGAAGTAGATGGTACCCAGCTATAGCTATTGACCATTCTGACCAGGGATACAATAGAAGGTCATGGATAGGATGGAAGAAAATTTAGAACAATATTAAAATTCCTATGAAATTTTAGTCCTACTGGTCTGATAGAAACAAGAGGAACCCCTGAAAATATCACCCTAAGGTATCCTTGGCACTTGGAACTGCAGCTATTTCTGAAGGTCACCTTTCAGCCAAAGTGGTTGTTAAGTGACACTTAACCCTGCACAGGGTTATGACTCATAGCGACCCTGTATAGGGTTTCTGAGGAGCGGCTGGTGAGTTTGCGATAGATAGATAAATATAGATAGATAGATAGATA